CGCTCCTATACGTTGCCGAACGTATATATAAGGTATTAAAAGAAGTCCTATAGGTCGCGTCTACCCCTAGGGCCGCCCTTATCCTAGAATCCGGAGATCCTCCGTATCTAGGGCTCCGGTAGCGTATAGAGGAGCGAATACCACGCTATATTACGATAGCCGTTTAGGCCCTATTTCTCGTCTATTATAAACTTCGTCTATAGCCGGCTAAGGAAGAAGTAGAAGGACTTAAGCTTGCCGTCCTAAGTCGGCTATAGAAGCAGCTTCTATATCGGTGGTGCTACCGCCGTAACCGGTATTACGGAGGTCGTAGGGGTTAACGCTAGTCTCGTAGACGGCTCCCTTAGTGCAGCGAGAACCTTATTCTTCTCGCTAGCTATCGCGCTTCTAATCGCTTCTAGGATAGCTACGATACTTCCTATCCGCTTAGGGGGTAGCGGGGTGCTCCCTTAGGGAAGCGGCGCCCTTTCCGGGGAGATATCTATTAGATTTATTAGTTTATAGCTTATACTATTACGGAGTAAGCAGAGGCGTATACGTAGGTGCCGTCTATAGGATAATATTAATAAGCTATATAAAGCTCTTCTATATGCGGCTAGCCCGTATATATACGTATAGGATCCGGCCCTCCGTATATAACTATACGGCTTAGGCCGTAGCCTAAGCCTATAACCTATAATAGTTAAAGACTCTTATACTCCTTAGCTTTAAGTCTTTATTTATAGTACTAATATATCTTTATAGCCGTTAAGGCTTATATATACCTAGCCGTAATAATAGTTATAGTATTAGACCTTAAAGTAAGAGTAGCTTTAGCTAGCCTTATAGCTAAGGTAGTTATAGTCCTTAGTTAATTACTTTTCTAAGTAAAAGGTATACTTAATAAGCTACTAGTAAGTTTAAGGGTTATAGTAAAAGGAAAGGTACCTATAGTACTATATATATAGTATATTCCTTATAGGCCTTAACTTAAATCTATAGACCTATTATATAAAGGCCTTTTTTCTAGTATTCGGCCGCTATAGCCTTTATATATTAGTAATATTATATCTAAAACCTTAATATATCTATATTAATATACGACTCTTGCCTTTTAATTATAAATACCGACCCCGACACGTTTAGTATTATTAGAATATAGACTAATAATACCCTTATACTTAGAACTAATAGCTTTTCTACCCGTAAAGAAGAAAAGCTCGAGGATATATAATTTCGAGCAAAGCTAAAGACGTCGATAACCTTAGGAATAATAGTTAATTTTAATAGTGCAAAACTAACCCTACTAAATATAGGATCCCTATTACTTTAGCGGAAGGGATAAGTAGCTAAGATCACTACTATTAACCCGAAAGCATTTAATTAATACTAACGCTACGTCTAGGAAAGAGCCCGAGGATTATACGTTGCTTTAATCTATTAACCTAAAGCTTTATTCGATATCTTAGTTATAGCTTAAATCTAAGCCCTTAACGATAAGGATTATACTATCCTAAATAAGCGCTTATAATAGTAAATAGATTACTAATAACGAGGCCTTACGTATAAGCTAATTAATCTAGCTACTATAAAGCTTATTATTTTTACCGACGGATCTTTTACGAATAATAAGGACCTATCCTCCTAGCTAGGATTCGTTATTACGCTCGTTAACGAGACTAATAGTAGAGATAAATAGTTTAAGATCGAAGGCAATATCGTATATTAAAGTTCGACTAAGTATAAACGTATTACCCGTAGCGTTCTTACCTTAGAGATCTACGGGATAGTTAACGGATTCGATATCGGAATATCGCTTATAACGACTTTAAAGATAATTATAGACCGCCTCGGATTTCCTTCTATCCCTCTTATCGTTTATACGGACTTATATTCCCTTTACGAATGCCTTATTAAACTAGGCACGATAAAGGAGAAACGATTAATAATCGATATTATAGCCCTTCGTTAGTTATACGAGTAACGGGAGATTACGGAGATTCGTTAGATCAACGGTGCAGATAACCTAGCTAATGCTATAGCGAAGGCATTACTAAACCAAGCTCTCGAACGCTTTATCGATACTAATAGTCTAATAATTCGAATAGAAGGATATATCTCGCGCCCCTAATCTATCGAGTGGCTTACGATTAAATTGTTCCTATAGTTAAAGGGCTCTATTTCCCCTTTTTAGTTATCACAACCGACCTATTTAACTAGGTCCTTCCGGTTTGCATAGTTCGTTGTCATGACCTACCTAACTAGGTCTTCTTACCTCGTTCGTTACAGCAGCTGCAACTACAAAAGAAAAGTTGCCAGTGTGGGAATTATAGTAACCCATTGTACTCATCTAGCTAGCTCACGTGCGCTATCACGTGTACGGCTGAGGATAGCTGAGGCCACATAGCTAGCTTCGTGGCCTCCTCCCTTCCTAGAAGATCATAGACGATTACAACACACCAGTTACCTCTATCATCTGTGCATGCATGCATTGAGACCTACCAATAGCTTCTCAGCAATAAGATCAAATGCTTCTAGATGATCCGTGATTGTGCATACGGATTCTTCGTGCGAAACCGAGTAGCTGATATGGTCCTGAGCCTTGAAGCTATTCCAAAGCTGTTTCACAGCCTGCATGGCAGGTCGCACCCACTTTTTGTCCCAATTGTGTTTTAGGTATCCTATCCGGCGCGAGGGATGAAAAATCATCGCTGCCGTATAGTAGGGTGAATCCTCAGTCTTCAAGTAGTACTTATCGAAGGCGTGCCAGCTTCTCAAGATGCGCGGAGAAAAGAAACGGTTAGATCTATACTTATCAAGACTTATCTTGAAATGCTGCATAAGAATATCCATCATAAAGAGGACACGATCGATCGTTGCAGAGTCCCCCTCCATCGCTTTAGTGGCCCGGTAAAAAGGCTTAAGAAAGTCCAGTATGATACGTAACTGTTCCCAATCTTGCGGTGACAGATAGTCGTTTTCGAGATCCTCAAAGTACTGCTTGGAGTAGGAATCGATCGCTGAGGCCTTTTCAATTGCGACGCGTAGCATCTCATGCCAACTATTCCATCTTGTACTGTTATCCAGGGGAATTCCACGGCCTGCAAGTTCTGTGAATCGGCGTATACGAGCTGGTGATCCGCGGATGTGGACAACAACGTTTTGAAGCCGTCCGAGCGGCCCGAGAGTTCGAAATGCATCTCTGGTACCGGTAACTAGAAGGAAGGGTTAGTGGGAATGTGAACTTCCGCTTCAGCCATCAGGCGTTAGAATGTTGGCGTGCAATCATGTTGGCTTGTATGAGTTCGTCTGCGTCCTTCGGTGCATCTGCTGGTCCACCCATGCCCTTAGATATGCGTGCAAACGTGCCGCCGACTTCACGTGCCGGACAGGGTAGGGAATCAATCCACCCACGTCCACGAAGGCATTTATGGATTGAATTGACGGCTTACTCAGCCAAACGATCGTGGATTGGGTCCACGGGCGCGATCAGTGGATTGATGTCCATGATGTGGAAACCGTTGACGACCCCTATCACGCTAAATCGGATTTCCTAATCGGGCAATTGATGAAGCTATCGCCAACCTCGTATATCGCCTCAATCCTCACCATCCTCCGAACGAGTCCCGTCGCTAACCTCCTCCAACACGGTATCATCGAGCAGCACACTATCAACTTCGTCGATAATTCCTGCACGTAACCAAGATCGCAGGGTTTGAATCAGTCCAATTGTGGGGGGATGGGTACTGCGAACCACGCATTATGAAACAGCCACTTGCGCACCGCCTGGCGGAGCGCGTTTCCACTTTTGCAGGGTGCCATGGCTGAGTGGAACAGGATTCCATTTATGTAATTATTTAATTGATCGACTTATGAGGCCCCCCTACTCGTACATTCGGTTCCCAGCTGAAATTCCCCACCTCTTATATGGCTGAGTTCGTATGCTGAATACGAGTAAGTTATGCGGAAATGTCGCACCTACTCTTGCATTTTTGAAATGAAATGTCCTTAATTCAGGGCCTTAGATATGCATGCTGTCTAGGGTCCTCGCGATGTACGAGTACTGACGGGGCTTTTCTGATTTCATTGGAGTGGCCATGCACATGTCTAGTCTATAAAAACGAAGCCTCGTCCTGCCGTAAACTTGCTGTTCCCACCAACAACGTGCGAGCCCTGCTACTCATCCACTCCAAATTAACGTCTAAACCAATTGTTTGACAGACAATACGACAATGAAGTTTCTGGGGAATAAGCTATGGTTTCCTCTTTTAATGACCTCAATGGTGGGCTGCCAACCACCAGAATATCCGCCATCCATTGTCTGGCGCGGCGACTCCAGATCCCCTACCGAGATAAAGAAAGCCGGAGGCTTTTTCCCTCAAGCGTCTGCCGAGACGAGGGATTACCGTCTATACTATCACGTCAGTAAGGACCCCGAAAACTCAGCTTTTGTTGCCACATCCTCGAAACCGGAATGGGCTCTTGGATTTACCACGTCCGAGAAAAAAACCAGTTACCTCTATAAGACAAAATTCGGTCACCTTTCTAAGACAAAAATCGGTTACGGCTATAAGACAAAAATCGGTTACCTCTATAAGATCAGAGCTTCGCCAAATATGATTGACGTTGACGGAACTTTGGAACATATGGGAAGCGGCCTTGGAGAGTCCGAATTCGCAGCTATAGATGGCGTGCCCTTCTCGCAGGTAATGAGTTGGGAAAAAGTACCAGCAAAGATGTTCCTCCCTGTCGACCAAGTCGGGAGGTGGGCAAAAGTACCAAAGAAGTTCCTCCCTCAAGACCAAACCGATGAAGAAATTGCCGAATCCTTTGTACAAGGGTTCGAATCAAAAGCAACGAAAAATCCAGACTACCTGGAATTCCCAACTAAACTGAACTTTCGTGCCAGCGGAGCACAGGAAGATTGGAGGGGTGTTCAAACTGAATCTTCGAAGGAGGATGCAAAAGCAAAGGTTAAGAGCTTCAAGGAGTCAGAGGCTGTTGCCAAATACTCCAAATATATGGCGACGCGTGCCACATCACCCAGCACGCATAACTCGGGCATTCCTGATGGAGAGGAGCCAGTTAAGGCCGAAGGAGGGTCAGACCCATCTGGTTCAGGGAACTGCAAGAGAGACTTGAAATTCTGTTCAACGGAGACAGATGAAGAAAAACCCGGGCCGAAGAAAACCCCCGAGGAACCGACCAAGGAACCCATCCCGGAGGTCGAGCCGGCCGCGGTAGGGCCCGGAAAGGAGATTGCAGAGGCACGACTGCCGCTGAAGGCCACGCTAGTCAAGGGCATCAGCGAGCTTCAGCTGCTGCAGCTCGTGACCAACATCGTGAACGCTGCTGCGGCCCGCATACAGGCGGTGCAGGGCGACTCTCACCTCTCGGGCCTCGAAAAGGTCGGATCGGTGCTGGTGGGCGTCATCAACGACACGATGCCCGGCGTCAAGGAAATCGAGGACCGGACGGCCAAGCTGTACGGCGACATAAAGGGCATCAAGGCGGACATGCTGACCGGCGAAAAGGCCGCGCTCATAGCCACGCTGACGCTGGCGTACAAAGACGATGTGGAGCTCATCATATTCGAAAACTACTTCCCGGGCGTCCCCGAGATCATTACCAACTACCAAAAGGAGGTCGCCGAATACAAGAGCTTGAAGGGCAACATGTCGACGGCCGAGCGGAACGCCAAGATTGCGTGGCTCATCACCAAAGGGACCCTGCACACCATCAACGACGTGGCTCGAGACTGGGTCCCCGGAGTCACGGAGGCCGAGGACAGCGTGCGGGACGAGTTCGTGCGCATAAAGGCCATGGCGGAAGACCCCAAGACCGACTTCTGGTCAGTCGCCGGCGAGTTTTTCTTGAACCCCTTCAAGATAGCCGTCGAAGCCGTGCACAGCTTCGCGAAACACTATGGCCCCGGCGTGGAGCTGGTGGAGAAGCTCACGATAGCCGGGCCGGACGGCAAGAGCCCCTCCCCCAAGGACAAGGACAGCCCACCGCCAGACATGGACGACGAGATCACGGACAACGAGATCGCGCACAGCGTCAAGCCCGTCGGCCTGCAGCCCCCGGCCGGGCTGTCCAAGTCCGACCTCGAGCAGTGGGGACCCTTCCTCAACAACAAGCTGGACCCGGAGGAAGCCGCCCAGTGCGTGCAGGGCAAGGTCGCCGAGGAGAATAAAAAGCGGGTCAAGCACGGAAAGGACGCCTGGAGGAGCAAGCTGCCCCAGCTGTCGAAGCAGTGTTTCGAGGAGCTGTTCAGGGATTTCTTAGGCAAGGGCATGCATCAAGGGTTTTGAGGCGGGATGGCTCCGGACAGACAGGTTCGGACAGACACATTGCAGGGATTATTGCGCTAAGCATGGGTTAAAAGCCACCGCGCCTCGACTACAGCCCAAATAGGATAACAGTCCATTGCCCCTGACCAGGTGCGTCGCAATGGGATCGCGTCCTCAATTGATCAAGCTCAATGGAGATCCAGCATCACGTCCGACACGAAAGCAAAACCGATGGAGATGCTGTACCGCGACAGCCTCCCTGACGACGTCCGCTCCGCCTTCGACAAAGCTGTAGAAGCCCTGCCACAAGAGCATCGACGCGCCCCTATTACCGGGGACGAAGTGAACAGCCCCGAAAAAGCCCTTCGCTAGTTCCAAGGCTATGCCTTCACCCAGGGTTTCGCTCTCGTCACTGCCAGCAAGGTACGCGACCGCCTCCGAGTGAACTGCCTCCATCACGGCAGAGGCACGCGAAACAAACGCAGTTGGGACTGCAGCAGCGGCCTACCCAGGATTGTATACTAGTGGATTTCCCTTCTGACTGAAAAATGGCACTTATGCCTGTTCAGGCTGTAGTCGAGGCGCGATGGCTTTTAACCCATGCTTAGCGCGATAATCCCTGCAATATGTCCGTCCCAACCTGTCTGTCCGGAGCCATCCCGGTTTTGAGGACTTTACCAGCGAGTTCGCCAAGCTTCACTTTTCTCTGGCCCGAAAGCACCGTCATAAGCTCAGGCAGAGACCTGCAGAAAGGACCGGCGTCGATTACATCGCTGTACAGTCAACCTGGGCTATAACGATCACGTGCTATAGCGATAGTCTGGCTTTAGCGATAAGATATATGTGCACGAGCAATAATTGGCTATAAAATTCCTTATCTCCCGATACTAGCGATATCGCGCCGTATTTGCTGACAAATCCGTTTATCTTATATAGGTATATACCTACTATATTTTAGCTAGCTACCCTACAATAATATTTTCTAAATCCTTACCTTAATATCTTATTTTATAATTAATTCTATATATATTATATATATTAGAAAAATAGGAAGGGTAATATCGATACGTCGGCAAGGCATTTCCTAAGCTCAAAGAAAGGGAATTCGTTAAAAGGCGCGAGAAAACGCGATGTAGAGGCATTCGGATATTATTGCGTGGGCAAACCACTAGTAGGGACGAAAATTTGCTCAATCTACGATCTCCGAGACCCTCAGCGCCAAATTCGCCTACGTTGACGACTCACACACACCCCACACACTCAAAAGACGGGCTGCAGACCAGCCGCTGCTTGAAGCCGCCCTTTACGAGCTCCTCCAGCGATTTAATAACGCCGGGCACCCTATTAATAGCGACATTATCGTCTCGCTAGCCCAGAAGCTATAGAACACGATGCCCGACTTCCGTGGGCAGCCTACACCAAGCTTCTCAAAGGGCTGGCTTGACGGCTTTAAGAAAAGGCATAGTCTTAAGCGCTACCGATAGCACGGCGAGTCAAAGACCATAGAGCAACACGACTTTAACGATGCCCTTACCGAGACCCAAAAGCTCTGCGCTACGTATAACTCGAACGATATCTATAACGCCGACGAGACTAGGCTCTTCTAGAAGGCAACGCCTACCTACACGATAGCCTCACGTTCGCAGAAAGGCATAAAGATTAAGAAAGACCGTATTACGCTTCTCCCTTGCTCTAACGCCATAGGCACACATCGTCTATAGCTTTAGGTAATTAGCACAGCAGCTAACCCTCGTGCCTTTGGCCGCCTTAACCATAAGATCGCAGCAATGCCGCTTTATTATCGCTCTAATAAGACTGCCTAGATAACCTTAACTATCTTCTCTAAGTAGCTAAAGTGGTTTAATGCCTAAATAGCTAGTCGTAAGGTATTATTATTGCTTGATAACTTTAGTGCCTACGAGTGTGCCGCTCGCGATACCGAATCCGACCTTAAAAACATATAAATACACTTCCTACCGCCGAATTCGACCGCGCTATTCTAGCCAATAGACCAAGGGATCATTAATAACCTTAAAGTCTACTATAAAAAGCTATAGCTCGAGTTCTTTAGTTATCTCGCATTCTAGTAACGCGATCCGCTATAAAATATAACGCTATTTAGGGCAGTCTTATAGGCTATTAAGGCGTAGGCCTCTATAAAAAATAACACTATCGCTAACTATTAGATAATATCACGGCTTTTTAGCATACGGTTTAGGCTACACTAGCGCCTAAAGGATTAGGACGAGTCCCGTTAAGCTCTCCTCGAAGCTATGCAGCGCGTGCGTATATAATAGGCAATAGGCATCGATAATCTTATTAATATTAATTTAGCCGAATTTAATGCCTTCGTAAACCTAGAATTCGAATGCCTCGAGGAAATAGAAGACGAGCTTCTCGAATTTATCGCGAAGACCTTTATAGAGCTTAGTATCTCTCCCGACGAGGATCACGGCGATAACAACGACCGATACGGTAGCATATTAGCTAAGGTCCGTAAAGTATACTAAAACCTAAACCCACTAAATTACTATACTACTTTATTTATATATCGTTCTTAGTAAGATTCTCGTATATATATAAAAAAAATAAAGCTATTTATACGCGGGTAATTAACTAGTCTTTGCTTTACCCTAAGGCTCGTACGAGCTAAGGTTACTAACCTAGAACACTACGAGAAGGTGCTAGTCGTCGTTCTAGATTAGCTAGGACTTCCTAACTAATACCTCTATATAAGGCTACTTAGCCAAGGCTTTATAGGTGCCCGCTGCCTATTATTATAGATAAAGAAATACTCGTATATACCTTTCTAGAGGACGACTAGGTCGTCCGCGGTTCCGTCCTCGAGCAGCAAAATCGCCTAGCTAGACGAGGACCCTAGAGCCTCGTCGACTAAGATCGGCTGCTCTCGAGAACCGGATATAAGGGCGCCTCGTACGCTAGGTAGAAACCAAGGATCTCCTTCGGAACAGCAAGCAGCGCGATCCGGCCACTTATAATTACCGTAGTAGCTACCGAAGTAGCCCGGGAGGCGAATATAGTAGGGAAAGGGACTTACGTACGCGTCCCTATCTATAATTATCTTATTTTAGCAAGATTTATATAGACAGGGATAGAGAACGCCTTAACTTTAGATAAGGAAGGCGTTTACGTATAAGTCCCTTATACCCGTGACCTGCTCTAGTCGTACGCGCTTACGGAGGAAAATAACGCGACGGCTAGGTAGGTTAAGGATAGCGCGCTGCACTGTATTTTTCGTGTATGGCCGGAGTTGCTGCCTACTTACGTCGACCTCGAGGAGGCGCGGTCTTCGTAGGAGCTCGCGTATAAGATCCTAGTCGAGTGCCTTAAGAAAGTTAGTGTCTCGTATAAGAAGGTAAGTGCTAAAGAGGTTTTACTTACCTAGGGAGGCGCGCCTTAGTAGATAAGCTAGTTATTAGCGTTTTTATATAAATATATTAGTAACTTACTACGTATAAGGAGCTAAGGAAAGAGATATATACGCGCTTATAGTAGTAATACTACTAATACTATTACTGCTATTATTATTGCTATTGCTACTACTATTGCTACTATTGCTACTACTAGTAATAATAAAAAGAAGAAAAGGAATTTACGTACGCGAGCGTAGATTAAATAGGTAGGTAATGCCTAAGGCATACGACCTACTAGCTAGTAGCTGCTAGCTGCTAGCTACTAGCTACTAGCTACTAGCTACTAGCTACTAGCTACTAGCTGCTAGCTAGTAGGTCGTAGTAAATAGAATAAGAGAATAGCTCGTATTAACGATAGCTTTATTATAAGAAGACTATATATTATACTTTCGTACGAATATATAGTGCTATTTTATTTATATAGTAGAGTAAGGTTTTTCTCCCTTTTCTTTTCCCCTCTTTCCTCCTCCCTCTTCCCTTTTTTTCTTTTCTTTCCTTTCCTTTTCTTTTTTCTATTTTTTCGTTACGTACGATGCCGCCTTATTTCTACTAAGAGAAGTGCCCGAAATCTCGGCGCCTTTATTACTTAATTTAGAATGTATTTCTATAATCTATCTACTACCTATTTTGCGTAGTCTCTTAGCTAGAGACTATTAACCTTACTATAGAAGGAAGTCCCTATCGTACGGCGTCTATATCATCCTCTTAAGTCTTTAGCCCTCTTCCTTTAGGAACCTTAAGCTCTTCTTCTCTTTCTAAACGAGACTATACGATAAACTTTACGAAGAACTTCTAAGTAAAGGCATAAGAGGCGTTTAATGCTACTCGTGCTATTAAGGAAGCTAGCCCGTACGACTATCCTACTAGCTTGCCGATTCGACTCTATAGCCTACTCTCTCTTAGAGAGTATAAAGAGGACTTCTTTCTTCTACTAAAAGTTATATAGCTTTATATATATAATCCCTTATAATAAATATTTTTCTTTAACCTTTATTAGATACTATTAACCTTCTACTACTCTCCTTATCCGATTTTAAAGAACCTTTCGGTATTACTAAAAAATAATAGATTAAGCGATACGTATAACCGAGCTTTATAAAGTAATTCGATAAGAAGATTCCGTAGGAACTTAGTAAGTCTTAGAATAAGAAGAGTAGCTTTAATAAGCTCCTTGCCCCTTTTAGAGATACGGATCGTATAGTATACGAGCTTTTCTAATAGGATAGGAAGTATAAGTAGAATATCTCTAATAGTAAGATTAAAGTCTAGATTAACTTTTAACTTTATAATTCCTTAACTCTTATATATACGAACTAGCGAAAGAGAAGAAAGTAAAATAAGGTAAAGGAAGAGGAGGAATCTCCTTTATTCTTAAGTTCTTCTCTCCCTTCGCCTCGTATAAACTAGCTAAATATATAAGACGAGGTAAAGAAGGAGGAACGTATTTCTTTAGCTTCTTATATAAGCAATAGTTCTCTTTTATATTTCTTTTAAGTAAGTCTAAGCCTTTCCCCTTAAGATAAAACTAATAACTAGAAGGATACCGCTTAAGGTTATATAACGACCCTATTACTAGACTAAGCAGTG